TTATAATCGCTCTAACTTGAATGACATTACTTGTCGGGTTGATACCTCCTCGAAAAATTCAGAGCTGCAGGCGTTGAATAATTATAATGAATAAATTACAAAACTAATAATGAATAAATAATTTTTTCACGTATTTTTTTACATAAAAATTTCTGTTAGTATCGGTCAGTATCGTTTCTCGGTATCGTTCTCGACTCAAAATGATCGTATCGGTCTCGGTATCGGGTTCTTGAGTATCGGTCAATCTCGGTTTCGGGTTGGCCGATACCAGTATCTTTTTGATCAACTCTACTTAAAAAATGTACAATTTATTGCACATTTTAGCTGGCTATTAAGTATATCTCAATATTCTATCTTCTTATTTAAGATAAAATTGCTTATATGGCGAAAAAGGACGTTATATATCGCAGGATGTCATTGAAGCAAATTTCAATGATGCTAATTTCTAATTCCTCCAAGACGAACAACGTGTCAATATTGTATGTTGGCGCATTCGAAGACATGTATTAAATTTGTGTAAAAAAATTCTTAATGCACGTGCAGATTTTAGCATATATACTTTGCTGCATCTATGACCAAAAGCAATATATTCTAAGCATCAAGACCAATTGTTCTACTTTATCAATTATTCAATTAGATTTTGAAAATTTTGGACGATTCTTAAGTCAAAACTCTTGATTTCGGACGAAACTTTTTAAAATTTTGCAAATATTATATTCAAGAAAAGTGAAAAAAGTTCTGAAATGGCAAAATATGGATGGAAAGGGTGAAAATATGCACGAAACGTCAAAAATGCTAAAGGGTGGATTTATATGGATGCTCAAGTTGATTCAAATTGGAAAATAACAACGAGAAAACGCTAGTAAGAAAAGATGGCGCAAGAAAAGATAGAAATATCAGAAAGTTATCTGTAACTTTATAACAATATTAATTTTTGTTTAAATTAACAAAAGTTCATATATTTGTCATTAAATAATTATATAATTGTTATAATTAAACTTTTATAAATGATAAATTATATAAATTGAAATTTAAATAAATTTCAATTTATTTAACCTTTCCGCTTGAATTTTTTGTTTTCTCCTTTATAACTTTTTTTCGGTGTTTACAGCCACATGCATTACATAAATAGTTTCCTGTTTCTGAATGACGGCGCCAATATATTGTTTCTGTAACACCACAAATAAAACATTCACGATCGTCCTTAAATTACTTAATGAGAAGTACGTTTTCATGTTAAGTTCAATTCATTGCAAATTTTATTGTATAATTTAATAAAACTTAATTTCCTGGGTAATTTTCGTTTAAATCCTACAACTTTCTTTTCTTCTCATTGTTTCTCCATTTCAATAATATTAAAATTGGTCAAAGGCAAGTAAAGCTAGAAATAAATTATCTTATTACATTAATAAAATTAACTCTTCCAATAGAAAGCTCTTTGGACTTTGATTGAAAATAGAATGGCCAGCCAATCTATCAGAGAGTATCGGAATTTAATTATAGCCTTATTTGCCTCTGACCAATTTTAATGAATTGAAAAGAGAAAAATAAGAAGAAAGAAAAATGTATGTTTATTAACGCATAGTACCATTTCATGATATCTCTGCAACTTCCGGATATCTAAATATCTATCGAAAAAATAAAGGAATTTAGCTGCTTCAGGTTTAAATTGAGAATGTTATTATGTATTTATCCATTTTATATCAAGGCAATCCGATCTTACTGAGGTCTATTAATACAAACCTTTTTTGTCTTACTTAACAAGCTCAAATTTCTATGCTTTCCATATTTTTGAATGTAAGCAACACAAGTGTGACACAAATAGTGTTCTTTGAGATAGTTATGCCACCAAGATTTAGTTTGTTTAGCACCACAATTGAAACAATCTCGCTTCTTTTTTTCAATAGTTACACCTATAAAATTTAAATAAAACGTCATTTGCTAGTGATTATTTTATTATTAAGCAAATAAAATATTTATTTACTTATTTTATTTCCAATGTCAATAATATTGCTTTTTAATTCATTCGGATATTCTACTTTCTTTTTTTCTACCAAATTAATTTTATATCCAATTAAATTAATTTCTGTCCAATAACTTGATAAAAGTTCATTTTTGTAATAATCTACATTTTCTTCAACTGAGTTAAACTCATTTTTATTTTCAAAACTCTCATTCAATATAGAAGTTTCATAACAATTATACTCATCAGTAAAATTATTATGTCGTAGTGCCTAAAAGTCAACGATAATTTTACTGTATAGGTTTTCGATTTTCTTTTCAGGATTCGATTATTGATGGTTTTTGCTTCAATTTCCGATTAGAATTTTTTAGATATTTTCGATTTTCAAAATTTTTCAAAAATTTTAACACTTGGCGCTAAACCTCTTGACTGCCATGTAAACGTAGAGTTATGAGCGTTCAATATATCCCTTCATTTTCCTATTTTTTGGAGTTAATAAATAAAGAGCTACCAAAAATGAGATACCATATCATAAATAGAGATATTTCGAATTTGTCGAAAAATCACAATATGAAATGCCTAATCCCCTGATATCACACAGAATCGCTTGATAACCCTATTACATTGTCTAGATCACTTTTTGATAGAAAGGATAATAAGCATAGCATAAAAATTTTTACAAAATTTTGTGCTACTAATATTTTATTCTTTGCAAGTGAAGTTCTATTACCAAAAATAAAATACCCGTTTTTCAAATCCAGGTGAAAAATTTCTAATAAATTTATTGTTGGCAATTTCAATCACGATTTTCTTTTTTAATAAAGATTTTGGATCATTTGTCCGTCGAACAATTAATACAATATTTTTAAAAATATTTGTAGCAATATCCAAACAAACCAAACGTGCAAATTCCTCCATATTGTAATTAGAGCCTACATAGCTATTGTTATGCTTTTCGATTGTTTTCACAACAAAGCGCTCTTTCAGTTCAACATTTTTTAAATAAATAAATTCTCTTTTTCCTTCCCAATCATCTTTGATTTTTAACGAAACATTAATTGATTTTCCTAAGCATTGAATATTTAATAAATTAATTAAATATAAGAGAATGATCAAATTAAATTTAATCATCTGAAATAAATTAATGTATTTAAACCTATAATATTTCGGAAACTTGAAATCCTTATTTTTACATGAATAAGTAAAAAAATTACATTGGAATTTTGGGGAATTACAATATCAATGTTTTGGGAATTGTTTTGATAATCACTTAAATAAATAAATGGAAAAACTAGAGGTTTAAATCTAAATAAACTATGTTTTTAAATAAGAGCCAAAAAATTGAATACATATTTTAATTATTTGTTTTTCATGTAAATAAATAGGGATGCACTTTGAAATATTTAATTAAATGCTAAAGGCATTAGAGCTTTTTCGAAATTTCGATTTTCGACTCGGATAAACCAAGATTTCGAGCCAAATAATTTTAAAGAGCTATTAAAAGCAGAGACGAAGTACAAATTTAAATAAATAAAAAACTTTATGACTAATTATATTAACCGCGGTATTTGACAAAAAGTGCAAATTTAAAATGTTCATAAATGGCAAAAAATAAATATAAAAATTTAATTATTCTCTTGAGAAATTAAGAAATTTGCACTTTTGTCAAATGACATTGTTAATAAAATTAGTAAGAAAAATTTTTTTGTTTGTTTTTAAATTCAGAAATTCTTAAATCTTAAGTTAGGTTTTTTAAAGACAAAAATGTTTGAAGATTTAATTTTGTTAATATTATTTATTTATAAATTATATCATTTGAGTATTATTTTAATTAAAGAATGTTTTAGCAATATAAATTTATATTTTAAATTTTTCTATGATTAAATTAATGTAGGGTGGATTGGGTAAGGTTGTAGGTTGTAATTTTGAAAAAACCGTATAACGTTTATACTGTTATCTGAGACCCTTAAAAAGTTTCGTCAATTTTTTAACAGAAAATGTCGAAAATTAGTGAAATATTAAAATAAATTCTTACTAGAAAATTATAAAAAAATGTTGAAATTTAACAGAAAAAATTAATCAAGTTTTTAATATCATGACACCCTCGGACATAAAAGGTTTTATATTAATATAACAAATAACTCTACTAGTTAACAATAAAACTAAGCTAGTTGATTTGAATAAACTTGTTTAAAATCTATGAAATAAAATTTAATTTTGTTGAGACACTATAAATAAATAGTCTTATTTTGACATTTTATCATATGCTAAGTTAATAATAGCTGTTCGAAATTTCGATTTTTGACATTGCTAATCAAGATTTCGACCCGAGTATTTCGAAACAAATCTTCGAGATAAAAGGGGGTACAAATCTAACCAAACTACAAAATTTTATTTACTAATTATATTAACAAAAGTGCAAATTTAAAAATCAGTCGGTGAGAAAATAAATAAAAAATAACATAAATACATTTCATAATTTGCCGACTTATTTTTTATTAATTTATTTACTATAAAGGGAATTTTTAAAATTTGCGCTTTTTGCCAATTGCCGCAGTTGATATTAGTCAATACAATTTTTTATTTGTTTATATTTTTAGCTACCATCTGTCTTTCACGCTATTTGGAAATATTTAAGCTGAAATCTTAATTGTCCATGCCGCAATTGTAATTTCTAAAAGGCTCTCTTGCTTACCGCATATAATTAAACCTTTAGAATTAGACCCCATTAATTTATATGATCTCAACCAATAATTAAACTATTCTAAATATTTGGCCTGATTTAATTAAATGCATTTTAATCTATGTTTATGTGTATAGCCCTTTCCTGTGTATAGCCCTTTTCATGATGGTTCTACTCCATCTCCCATCCAATGAATTTCTTTACAGCATGAACATCGTATATAATTTATCATCAATAGAATTGTTTAATAGGATAATAGAGAGTGAAAATGGGAAATAGGACAATATTTAGGTAATTTAAATAGGAAGATAACCTCACAAGTTAATCATTTTATGTTAAACCTTTAGTAAAATATTATGGTAATATTAGAGATGAATTGAAATACAAATTCTGAGAAAGATGAGATGTTATAATTGGGATAATAGGGAAGGAAACTTTGATTGAATGGTGTTTAACTATTGTAGAGTGTTCAGGAAGTTGAAATGAAGTACAGACAAAAAGGAAATAATAATAAGCGAACAATATGCAGATAGAGAGGAAGGTAGTTACTTGGAAAGAATAGGTGTAAAGAATAGAAATAATAATGAGAAATAAGTCTCGGTCAAGACTTGGCATAATAAAATAACGAGTCCGGGACTAACAATATAATAAATAGACGGGAATTTTTGAAATTTATTTATAGTTTATTTTTATATTAATTTTTATTTATTTATTTTTTACAAGAGTTGACTTTAAACTTGCACTTTTTTAAATAGCACTTTTAATAAAATTCGTCAATTAAATTTTTGATGTTTGTTTACATTTATTTTTACATTTATGCCTTGTGAGTGTTTAAAATCCTTGATTAAATATAAAATATCGAAATTACGAAACAGCTCTGATGTCCTTAGAATTTGATTAAAATGCCAAAACGATACGCTATTTAATATAGGGTCTCAACAAAGATTAATTTATTATGATAAATACCTCGGCGTTTAAATAGGGTTATTCCAATTATTCTAATATTCATTGGTTTATGAAATTTTGAGTCTAATTCTATTTAGAAGTTTAGATTTCTGACTTTTGTTTATGAATTTTAGTGTTTTAAAACTTGCACTTTTTGTCAAATACCAAGGTTAATATAATTAGTCAATAAAATTTTTCATTTGTTTAAATTTCTACTTTGGGTCTGCTTATAATAGCTGTTTTGAAATATTAGGTTCGAAATATTAGTTTATCCAAATCGAAAATAGAAATTTCGAAAAATTAATATTTCAATACGCATCCCTATTTATTTATAGGGTAAACAAATAATTAGTATATGTATTCAATTTTTTGCCTCTATTTTAAACGCTATTTTAATTAGGATTTTTTAGAACGGGCCAGGTGAGAGCCGCCAACTGAGTGCTGCCAACTGAGAGCGGGCAGCTGAGAGCCGAGCCAACTGAGAGCGAGCCAACTGATAGCTAGCCAACTGAGAGCGGCCAACTGAAGAGCCCTGACCGTACTTTATAGAGCCCTGACCGTAGTTACGTATCACTACCGATACGGATTATCGATAAATACGGAAAATATTAAATACGGAAAAAATATCGGAAAAAATATATATATATATATATATAATAATAAATACGGAAAAAATATCGATAAATACGGAAAATACTACGACAATATTTTCCGTATTTATCGATAATCCGTATCGGTAGTGATACGTAACTCTTGGCACTTAGCACATAAACGTTAATATTAAAATTTAAGATGAATAAATTTATTATTATTCTTTTTGTTTCATATTTGGTTGTTCTGTTGAAAATCCAAATCAAAGGTAAAATGGTTGAGGTTGGATTAAAAATAAAAAATGATTGGGAAGAAAAAAGAGAATTTATTTATTTAAAAAGCATTCAAATAAAGGAACGTTTTGTATTGATAATGAATGTAACACAAAATAATAGAATAGTTGATTATTTTTATAAGAATAATGGATCGTTCTGTAAGCTTGAAGTAAATCCTGTTAATAAAGTTTTTATCGTTAAACTAAGTCGGAGAGCTAAATTTAGCTCTCAATTAAAAATGAGAATTTTGATTGAAATGGCCAATAATGAAATTGTTAAAAAAATTTTGAAAAACTTTGGAAAACAGATTCGCCTAAATAATAATTATATCATGAATAATAAATATTATGAAACTTCTATATTAGAGGAAAGTTTAAATGAAATAAATATAAATAAAAAAGAATTATTGAAAGAAAAAATAGAATTTTATAAAAACAAACTTTTATCAAGTTATTGGGCGGAAATTAATTTAACTGGATATAAAATTGAATTGATAGAAAAACATAAAGATGAATTTCGCAAAGAATTAAAAAGCAGAATTATTTATATTGGCAATAAAATAAGTAATTAAATTTTAAATTTATCTATCTTTTAATTTGGTTAAAAATTTTCCTTAATAATTATAGGTGGAATGATTGAAGTAAATAAACGAAGGTGTTTCAATTGTGGAGTTACACAAACAAAACCGTGGCATAGTTTACTAAAAGAACATTACTTATGCTTACAATGTGGCGTATATAAAAACATATATGGAAAGTTTAGATCAAAAGAATTATGGTTTAAAAACAAAAAGGTTATCTTTATCAATTTTTGGGACGATTTTTAATAATTCTTATCGGAACTCTTTAAATGAATTTTTAACACATTTCTAAACTTATAAAAGTTGTTTTGTCCAAACGTTGATGACCGATAGAGATATAAGCTAAATGTTGTTTATACAATTGAACTTACTATGCTTTAAACTCTATCGTTAGATTACTTCTCATTAAGTAATTTAAGGACGTCGTATATATTATTTTCGACACTGTAATTTAAACTCCTTTTTAATAATATTATGAATGGTTAAATGTAAATAAAGCTGAATTAAATTGCTGAATAATCATTGATAGATTGCCCAGATATTATATTTCAATCCTATTCCAAAGAGCATTTAGTGGAATGGGCCATCATTTTATAATAATACGATAATTTAATCAAAGCTTTATTTGCCTTTAACCATTTTTAATATTTATGAAATAGGATAAACAATGAGAAAAAAAGATTAATTTAGAAAAAAAGATTAATTTAAACTTAACATAAAAGCAAAATTCTAATTAAGTAATTTAAGGACGATCGTAAATGCTTTATTTGCGGAGTTACACAAACAATACATTGGCGCCGTCATTCCGAACCAGGAAAATATTTATGTAATGCATGCGGCTGTAAAAGTGCGAGAGAAGTTACAAAAAAGACAATACCAAAAAGTTAACAGAAAAGTTTTAAATAAATAGAGAGTTACTCCAAAGGCTGATTTATTATTTATAAAAGATTAATTGTAACAATTATTTAATGACAATTATACGAACTTTTGTTAATTAAAAAATTAATATTGTTAAAAAGCTTACATATAATTTCTGATAATTCTGTATTTTCTTAGTCTAGCACTTAAATAAGAAATTTAGTTGCGTTTCAACATATTACCTATATTTTTTACTAGTTTTAGATTTTTTAAGACATGACTCTTAATTTATGGGGTTCTATTACCCGAGTAGGAAGAACCTGGTAAATAATGATTTAATCTTAAAAATACTACCCCCTGCCCGTTTCTTAGAGTATTAAATGCATATCCCTATATTGAATTTTTATTTTTTTATTTTTTTTTAATTTTTTTTAATTTTTTTTAAATTTTTTTAATTGTTCGAAAGAGCATAAAATCAAAATTTAAAATTAAAGATAAGGTTTGAAAATATTTTTTAGAAAGCAGTACCCATGTTTTACGTCGTGTCACGACACTTGCAGATATGACATTTGCAGACCCGACACTTCTTGAAATTTGCTACAAGAAGCAATTATATCATTTTCAAGAAAAAATTATTTTGGCATATTATTAACTGTCAAATCTCTCAGTAACAAATAACGACTAATTATCCCGTAAAATGCCCTATAAGATCGGTTCAGAAAAATAAGGGTAAATATCTCTTTTATTTATTTTTTCTGAAAAGAACTATTTTATGCATCTTGTAGCAAATTTCAAGGGCTTTCAGATAAGCCTAAAATAAAAATTTAATATAATCCAGAAGGGGTCGAAAAAACTTTTAGAAGCTGATTACCCCTGTTTTACGTTGATTTTCTGGGTATCGAGATCTCGAAACAGGAAGGAGATCTCTATTGATACTAAGAAAAGACAAAAAAGAATTAGACCGATATCTCACTTGAGTGTCGAGATCAAGATACCTCGAAAATCAACTTAAATAGGGGGTAAGGCTGTTTAAAAAATATTTTCGACACCTTATGGTTTGTTTTAAAATCTCAATTTGGGTTCATTCGAAAGCCCTTAAAATTTGCTATAAGATTGTATTACTCATACATCCCGGAAAAAATTCAATAGAAATTTGCAGGACGTTAATCTTCCTGAGCTAATTTTATGGGGCATTAGGGGGCTTACTGAAATAATTATTATGGGACTTACTGAAATAATTTTTCTAGAAAATAAAACTTTTGCTATCTTATAGAAATTTTAAGGGCTTTCGAATGAACCCAAATTGAGATTTTAAAACAAACCATAAAGTGTCAAAAATATTTTTTAAACAGCCTTACCCCCCATTTACGTTGATTTTCGAGGTATCTGGATCTCGACACTCAAGCAAGATATCGTTCTAATTCTTTTTTGTTTTTTCTTAGTATCAATAGATATGCTTGCTCAAATTTTTGTAGATTTTTCCTAATGTTAGAAACTCGAAATTTCAAAGTGGGGCTATAATTTTGTGGAATCCTAAAACTGGGAATTTGCCTATAACTATTGAAAAAATTAATTTAAAAACAAAATTTTTTCACTAACCTAATTTTAGACCACTATACATTATTACAAAAAAGTCTGAAAATAAAAACAACGGTTACAGTATTGAAACCGAGGAAAATATAGGTGGGGCTATAATTTTGTGGAGGAGTGTATAAATAAGTTTATTGAAATTTTTCTAGATTTTTCCTACCTTTAGAAATACGAAAACCCAAAGTGTTCATATAATTATGTGGCGGTCGAAAAATTGCAAATTTTCTAAAAAAATTCGGCCTGAAACCATTTTGAGATTTTATTTTTTCTAAGGCGATTTTGGCTGATTTCTAAAATATATCAAGGTTAAAAATCGGTATTTGCCTTCCAAATACAGCAGAAAGTGGAAATTTACGGGTGTTCATATAATTATGTGTCGGAGTGTAGTTATTACGAAATTATTATTGAATTTTATATAATATTTCATAGCTAAGTGACGTTTTTTTTGCAGTAGCAAAAATAAAGTTATCTGTGAAATATATTAATTGTAAAATTATATGAACAAAAATTTATTAAAAATTTACAAAATTTGGAAAATGAATAATTTTTATTCTACCTGTAATATTATAAAATAGATAGTATAGATTAACCGCTCATCAGCGTTTAAATAATCAGCTCTAATAGGAGGTTAATCAACTGGTTCAAGTTTTTTATTCTCTAATAATTAAAAATAACTAGTTTCAATAGAACATCTAACTAAATTTTGTGTGAATGGTAGCCGTTCATTAAAAAGATAGAGGCAGACATATTGAAGTAGTTTAATTAAGAGTTAGAAACTTAAAGACC